ACATTTTCTATACTTATAACAAAATAATCTTAATAAAGGATTACTAGCAAAATGACCAAAGTGAAAAAAAAACTCTTGATAAATATATTAAGAGTAAAAATAAAAAAATATTTCTAAAAAAAAATTTATAATTTGGTTAAAAAAGAGTGTTATTTTATGTGACCCATTGCCATGGTGACCCCATGATCAACCAATCAAGATTGATCACGTGATCGTGCGATTTCTTTATTAAAATAAAAAAATTTTTTAATTACTTTCCTCAGAAAGTTTTCATAAGAACAAAGGTAGGGTGTTTGGTAATTGGCTAATTTTATTAAGATTCTACTATGTTTAAATTATGAAGCCAAACAATAGATTTATAAATTGTTAAACCGTAAGCATTATATTAACATAAAACTTTACATTTATTCAACAGGCTACGCAATATAAATACTTTAACATGATTTATTTTACCCGAACTACGACACATATACATATTATATATCTAATATGTAGTATAATAAATACGATGGTGTGATTTAATTACAGTAGTATAGACTATAGAGTAGTAATATGTTAGATGTAATGCGGTTCAGTAAAATCTAATGCTTTAGTATTAAAATGCTTTGCTTTTGTTAATAATAAATTCATTTTTAAAAGAATTTTTAATTGATTTGGTTGGTTAATAATCACGTTTGGATCTACATCAATTAGCCAATCACACAAATGTTATAAACGAGTTCCTTATATGCTATAAAAAATTTAGTCACGTTATATTTTTTCTATTTAATATACAAATAAAATTACTTAGAAAAGTGGCACACCTTTAGAGGGCACCGCAAAAATGGGAATCAGCTCCCTTATGATCCTGAATTAGCGAAGTTGTATTCCTAAGATAAGTTGGAATATTGTCTTACCTGCAACACTTCAAGCAATAAACTCAAGTTCGCAATTGTAGCATAGAAGCTTTATCATGTACTCTCACACTTGTATTTATTTTATCGCTTGCATGTATTAATAAAGTATTGTGAATATTTTCACCTGTGTAAAAACTACGAAATCCCGAAACTGTGACGCGCGTCACGATCTCAAAGTTTAGCGCTTTTTTTTATGTGAAATATTGTAAAGCATGGTTTTTGAAATGAGTCAGATCAATTTGTGCGACAATCAATTATATTTCCAATAAATAACCCCCCCAAAAAATTTTTCTCGGATTGAGTAATTTGTAATACCAAAATGGACAAAACGGATGAACTGACGACTCTCAGAGAAGAAATTAATCGTCTTAATTTCATTCGAGATGAACAATTCAGATTACGTAAATACTTCACTGACAACGTAGAAAAAATAAAGGTTGCCGTGGCTTTTCTTTTTGACTTCACAACGGATGATGAGAAGCGGGATTACTTGAAGTCTTTAATTTCCACGCATGGTATGTTTTATCATTGCGTGTGCTCTAATAATACCGAATACTTGTGCTTTTCTTTCCTGCTTCTTATCGCCAAACACCGCCCAAAAAACACATTCACGCTATCGTAGAAGCCACCGGTAAGTGTAATAGAAATGTTAACGCAAGCGAACACAGGCTTTGATAGCTATTACCGTTTTGCGTTGTGTCATCAATAATATCATTATTCCAACCTATACTGCTTTTACTCGTTGTCATGTCATTTTCTAACTTGTGTCTTGCATCACGAAATCAAGCAGAAGAAGAATTGAGAGCACAATTGGAGGCGTTTAAACTTGGTCGTGAACTTGGTTATGGTAGGTGTCCTTTCTTACCGTGAGCGAGCACTCAACCATTAACAACTCATTTACCTCCAGGCGAAGCACATTTTAATCGGATTTACTTTTAGAGTCGGAAATTAAACGGAGAAAGCGCGAAAAAGGTTACCTTTTCATTTCCAAGGTATCAAAGTTGACCAGTATTACCGACCCATTTTTAGATTTCCTTATTTGGAGACGTCTAAAGCGGAGCAGATTTTTATAATATATATATATATTATTGAATTAACTTTAGGGTTATGGTCATCTTATATTAGGGGTAGGGTTTTAGGTAGTTATATATAAGCAAAATTGCCTTCCTAACATTTTTAATTAACCCACCCGGTGTAGGATTAGGCTGCTGTTTTTTGTATTTTTCAGGTTTTTCTTGCTTCGCTTCGGCGATCGTCAAAATCCCATAATTTGATTGGTTATATATCACGTGACCCTACTCCGCTTTAGACCCCCTTATTTGGAAATGTACCTAAAATGAGCGGTTAGGATTAGGGTTAAGGTTTGGGTTAGGGCTAGAGTTAGGGCAGGTTATATAGGTAAAATTACTCTCCCAACATTTTTTATTCGTGCTTCAAGATGCGTTCAGACACTCATTTTCGATTGTGATTGGTTAATCGATGTAAATCTTCCAAATAAGGAAATCGAAAAATGGGTCGGTAATACTGGTCATAAAGTTGAAATCCATGGCTTATTTCTTTTTTTTCCCTCATCACAGAATACGGGGAAACTGTTAATATTGGCCTTAAAGCGAAACCCCCTTCGTCTGGTGCCAAGCCTTCTACCTTTTTCACAACTCAAACAAATAACCCAATCCTTAATGGTCGACCGCTTGAACTTACTGGTCCTCCTATTACTATTTACAATAGAGGCTTTGCACAATTCCTTGAAGATTTTAATAGTATAGAACTGGAAGTACCTACTGACATTTTGGAGTGGGTCATGGATATTATTTCCGCATCAGCAGACAAATATTTTAACGAAGACGAACGCATGAAGAAGATGAGAGAGATACTTTCGAAAATATTTGGCACCATAACATTGACTAGTTACGGGAAAGGTTACTCGTGCGATGGATTACTTACGGCTAAAGTAGGCCTTCTCGACGCTTATATTGGGATAATAGAAGGAAAAAATGAGGTTGGATCAGGTGGAACTGATCCCAGTTTTCAAGGAGCAATATATTACCGAGATTATTGGTCTCAGACAGTAGTATGTTTAATTTTTTATTCCTTAATTACTGCTGTACGAATTCATGTGCTCATGTGATACCTTCCATTCAGGTTGAACAAATTCGAGATTGCTGTTGCGTACCATCCTTTATTATCACCATTACCGGACCATGGATTTGTGTACTCGGAGGCATCTTCCTTAACAGGGTAGTGGTCCAGCCACTAACAGATATCATTCCTCTTACAATCAACGTACGAAATGAAGACCAAGTGAATCGGATTGCACGCCTTTTTCAGGCGTTACGACTTGCTTTTGTACGACTCGGAAATTTTTACAATAATTTAGACTTAACTCTACCTGGACAGACAGAACAGAGGTATTTTCCCTATCTTCGAAGTTTTAAATTAGATAATAAAAATGTAAATTTTATCTACATCGAAGAGTTTGAAGATGATCACATAAGAACTATCTGGAAAGCTAGAACAACGAATATGGAGAATAATTATGATGTTGTCGTGAAATTTGTGAAAAATTACAATATAACAGCACATAATATCTGCAGCGGAAGGGGTTATGCACCGAAACTATTATACCAAAGCCCTAAAAATGAATTCCTAGCTCTTGGAAGATATGGGATGATTATTATGGAATTTATTGGTATTTCGCTGGATAGGAAACTTAATCAACGCGATATTAGACCTAATAATATTATTTATAACGATGTAAAGTTTGCAATAGAATTGCTACATTCAAAGAACTATGTGTTTGCGGATCTCCGTCTTCCAAACATTCTAGTGTATGATGAAAATGA